TCATAAACCATGTTTACGTTCATTATACACATTTGTGTCATAAACAATGTTTACGTACATTATACACATGTGTCATAAACCATGTTTACGTTCATTATACACATTTGTGTCATAAACCATGTTTACGTTCATTATACACGTGTCCTCGTAAACCATGTTTACGTTCATTATTCACATTTGTGTCCTCGTAAACCATGTTTACGTTCATTATACACAATTGTGTCCTCGTAAACCATGTTTACGTTCATTATTCACATTTGTGTCATAAACCATGATTATGTTCATTATTCACATTTTTGCAGAAACACACACAAAACTGAACAGGGAACAGAGCAAAAATGTAACAATAGCAATATACATATAAATAATATACAGTATAAACAATAAAATGGGTTTTCAATTACATTCAATTAATTAGCGGACACTTTTAATCCGAATGTTCACTATTGCATGGTAATTGCATTATTTTAAACTGTAGTACTGTTACATTTTTTTTTATAGATAATTGTTTTCTTTAAGATTTATTATTGTTGTTGTTTTAAGATCTCCTAACTCTCTAAGCAGTTTGTGATTTTTGCGCGGGAAAACAGGACTTTTATTTTGGTAGGTCGATGTGACGTCATAGGCGCGCGTCGCGCTCCGGCTCTGTTGTGATTCGGCTGAAGAAGGTCTGTCTTCAATCATCTAAAGTGTTTAAATCTATGGAAACCGTTCCGGTAATGTTATAGTTTTGACAAGAACTGTAAAGTTGAGTAAAATTAAAGTAAATCTGGGTCAATTATTCACTGAAAGTAAACGCAAAATATGCTGATAACATATGTAACTGTCTTCATTTATAGCTTTGACATTTCTCTTGTGGCCCAGACACTATTGATAGTGAATACATAGAAGAATCTATATTTATTGTGAAGCACGCTAAAGCTGCTGCTAATGATTGTTGTTTAGAGATCAGAACTTTTAAAGACTGTTGATTTATCATTTGAATAATTATTATTAACATATATAGTTGTAGTATTGTTATAATTTGTGTCATCAAGATGCTTTGTTAATGTTTTAATCATTAACTCTCACGCTGACTGACTCCCTTTCTGATTGAGAGATTTAGATTGGGTTTATTTTTCTGTCTGTTAACTATTCTCATCTTAAACACAGATAAACTCAACTGAGACACACTATTATAAAGATGGAGTTTATTAAAGAGGAGAGCGAAGACGTGAAGATTGAAGAAGCTTTCAGAGTCAAACATGAAGATACTGAGGAACAAACAGGTTGGTTTTCATTCTCAAAGCTAGATTACAGTCTTGTTGAAAATGCTCATTTAGAGAAGTCTGTGAAGTTTGAGATTTCCGCAATATAATAATTAAGAAAATATCTTGGTTTTACTGTATACGTGTCAGTTTGTTCCCAACTAATACAAACACTATCTCATTTACTATAATATTACAGGATACAGTTAACAACAGACATTGAACTGAATTAAAGGGTTAGTTCACCCAAAAATGAAAATGTGATGTTTATCTGCTTACCCTATACCCACATGAGTCTTCACACCGGAGAGAAGACTTACACCTGCAAACTGTGTGGAAAAACGCTGAATCGAAAAGGAAATCTTCAGACTCACATGAGAACTCACACCGGAGAGAAGCCGTTCACTTGTGATCAGTGCGGAAAGAGTTTCACTCGTAAAGAAAGCCTTAATAATCACATGCGGATTCACTCGAGAGAGAGCTGCTGTGTATGTCATCAGTGTGGAAAGCGTTTCGCCGACCGTAATCACCTTAAGAAGCACATAATGACTCACACTGGAGAGAAGCCTTTCATGTGCCAGCACTGTGGAATGAGTTGCGCGAACAACACAAACCTTAAAGTCCACTTGAGAGTTCACACCGGCGAGAAGCCGTTCACCTGCCAACAGTGTGAAAAGAGCTTCTCACGGAAAGAAAGTGTTAAGGATCACATGAGAGTCCACACTGGAGAGAAGCCGTACACATGCAAACAGTGTGGAAAGAGCTTCACAAATAAAGGATCCCGTTACAGCCACGTGAGGACTCACACTGGAGGGAAGCTTTTCACGTATCTTTAGTGTGAGAAGACTTTGGTATAGCAAATAGATCTGAGAAGTCATTTGCAAACTCCTTCTGGCAAGAAAGAGGTTTAGAAAAAGGAGCAATTTCAAAAAACACCCGATCTGATCGGAGTCATTTAATATTGAGTGTCTGCCGATACTTGATTCGATTCTAGTATTTCCCTAGTACTTGGTGCACACTACAGTCATTCAAATCAAACCAATGTGAACAGGGATGTGCAGAGAGTTCTTATGAATATGGGATTACTGATATAAACATCTTGTATTTTATATGTAAAATAAGCAGAGTAATTGCAACAAAAAAAGTGGAGATAAGGTGAGAAAGCATGAAGCTTGGGGTCTCAGAAGGACAATCAAGTAAGCAAGATGCAGCCCATAGCAACGCGTTATGGCAACATCTCAGACAGTCTGACAGCAGATAAAAAGAACTTATGAGTGATTTCATAAAAAGTGGAAGTATGTGTGTAGATCTCATTCATGCACGCACATTTGAGCTGCTTCATCAGCCCTGATACTGATCCTTGTCAAGAACTTGAAGTCCATAAAAAGTCTTAAATATCATAAATAGTGGGGGAAAGTCTCCACTTTTTTGGAGCGCAAATGGAGGAGACAGTTGAAAAGGCAAACATGTTTTTGATTGGCTGGAGACTGTAATGGTAACTGATTTGAGAAAAAGAGATTTTGAGAAAAATTCCTGTCCAGGATCTCAGTCAGTTCCAGTGTTCGGCACCGATTACCAGGTAATGTGAGGCGTTCACAGATCGAATCTTACAGCTCCCGATCTGCTTGCAGATACATTACAACCATCCCGTTAATATCAAACATGTTTGATATTTAGGATTTTAAACCGGGATGATTACAGCTATGACTACATCAGTACTTTCACAATAGCCAATGAGAGAGAAGTTTTCAGGAAGACGGAGGTGAAAGAAATGGTGAAGTATGAGTATGGTCCGAGATGGAGAAATGGCTGGTCGAAATGTGGCAGCAATATGACCGCCATCATCAAAAACATGCAATGTAACCACAATGACAAGAGAAGAGCTGAGGAAACATCGCATCGGCTTTGAACGTACTGGATGAGTGTATAAAGTTGCTAGCGCACTAGTTAGCAAGTGTAAACATTAGCTATTGAAACGTCAAACTAAGACCATTTGCTACATACAGATCTATCAAAGGATGCATTGCTTCCTTAAAGGGATAGTTCACCCAAAAATGAAAATTTGATGTTTATCTGCTTACCCATCCAAGATGTAGGTGACTTTGTTTCTTCAGTAGAACACAAACGAAGATTTTTAACTCAAACCAAATTAAACCCTGCGGCTCGTGACGATACATTGATGTGTAAAGACACGAAACGATCGGTCTGTGAAAGAAACTGAACAGTATTTATATCGTTTTTTTACCTCTGATTCACCGCAATGTCCGAACTGTCCTGAGCAACACAAACCTTAAAGTCCACTTGAGAGTTCACACCGGCGAGAAGCCGTTCACCTGCCAACAGTGTGAAAAGAGCTTCTCACGGAAAGAAAGTCTTAAGGATCACATGAGAGTCCACACTGGAGAGAAGCCGTACACATGCAAACAGTGTGGAAAGAGCTTCACAAATAAAGGATCCCGTTACAGCCACATGAGGACTCACACTGGAGGGAAGCTTTTCACGTATCTTTGAGAAGACTTTGGTATAGCAAATGGATCTGAGAAGTCATTTGCAAACTCCTTCTGGCAAGAAAGAGGTTTAGAAAAAGGAGCAATTTCAAAAAACACCCGATCTGATCGGAGTCATTTAATATTGAGTGTCTGCCGATACTTGATTCGATTCTAGTATTTCCCTAGTACTTGGTGCACACTACAGTCATTCAAATCAAACCAATGTGAACAGGGATGTGCAGAGAGTTCTTATGAATATGGGATTACTGATATAAACATCTTGTATTTTATATGTAAAATAAGCAGAGTAATTGCAACAAAAAAAGTGGAGATAAGGTGAGAAAGCATGAAGCTTGGGGTCTCAGAAGGACAATCAAGTAAGCAAGATGCAGCCCATAGCAACGCGTTATGGCAACATCTCAGACAGTCTGACAGCAGATAAAAAGAACTTATGAGTGATTTCATAAAAAGTGGAAGTATGTGTGTAGATCTCATTCATGCACGCACATTTGAGCTGCTTCATCAGCCCTGATACTGATCCTTGTCAAGAACTTGAAGTCCATAAAAAGTCTTAAATATCATAAATAGTGGGGGAAAGTCTCCACTTTTTTGGAGCGCAAATGGAGGAGACAGTTGAAAAGGCAAACATGTTTTTGATTGGCTGGAGACTGTAATGGTAACTGATTTGAGAAAAAGAGATTTTGAGAAAAATTCCTGTCCAGGATCTCAGTCAGTTCCAGTGTTCGGCACCGATTACCAGGTAATGTGAGGCGTTCACAGATCGAATCTTACAGCTCCCGATCTGCTTGCAGATACATTACAACCATCCCGTTAATATCAAACATGTTTGATATTTAGGATTTTAAACCGGGATGATTACAGCTATGACTACATCAGTACTTTCACAATAGCCAATGAGAGAGAAGTTTTCAGGAAGACGGAGGTGAAAGAAATGGTGAAGTATGAGTATGGTCCGAGATGGAGAAATGGCTGGTCGAAATGTGGCAGCAATATGACCGCCATCATCAAAAACATGCAATGTAACCACAATGACAAGAGAAGAGCTGAGGAAACATCGCATCGGCTTTGAACGTACTGGATGAGTGTATAAAGTTGCTAGCGCACTAGTTAGCAAGTGTAAACATTAGCTATTGAAACGTCAAACTAAGACCATTTGCTACATACAGATCTATCAAAGGATGCATTGCTTCCTTAAAGGGATAGTTCACCCAAAAATGAAAATTTGATGTTTATCTGCTTACCCATCCAAGATGTAGGTGACTTTGTTTCTTCAGTAGAACACAAACGAAGATTTTTAACTCAAACCAAATTAAACCCTGCGGCTCGTGACGATACATTGATGTGTAAAGACACGAAACGATCGGTCTGTGCAAGAAACTGAACAGTATTTATATAGTTTTTTTACCTCTGATTTACCGCAATGTCCGAACTGTCCTGAGCGCGTACTCAACAGCTGACGCGTCTTCTTCTTCTTGCTTTACAGCGGATCGCAGACATCAAAGTGCATTACCGCCACCTATCTCTCAAATGTACCATTGACACTCTATCTACAATCTCAATTAGGAGTGTCATTGGTTTGAACGAAAACAACGTAACCAAAGCACAAACAACGTAGAAAACGTATCCGTGTGACGCAGCTGACACAATAGCATACGCTGTTTGCATTCAGTGGATACTCTCCAAAATGTCACTAGTGTGACGCGGAGCACACAAAGTATTCTCGTAGCTTCGTAGAATTACGGTTGAACCCCTGATGACACATGGATTATTTTACCGATTTCCTTGCTACGTTTCTGGACGTTGATCGTGTTAGGACCCTTGCTGTCTATGGAGGGTCAGAGAGCTCTCAGAATGCATCAAAAATATCTTAATTTGTGTTCCGAAGATGAACGAAGGTCTTACGGGTTTGGAACGACACGAGGGTGAGTAATTAATGACAGAATTTTCATTTTTGGGTGAACTATCCCTTTAAGATTATCTTAAGAAGTACTGAAGAATAATTTCTATTATATTAAGTACAAAATTAGTGCGTGAAAATAGAGCAATTATGGAAGTGCACTTTTTTTTTTTCACCTGGGAAACATAATTTGTGCTAAACAGTATATGTTCCCTTTAAGGCAGCAATATTCCTGACAACTGAAAGGCAGGCACTCCAAATCTGTAACGATTTGAGAGAAACAACTT